TGTATTTGAAAACCAGGGTAATCTGAATGTACATTTCCTGGTTAAATACTTGGTTATTATTATAGTTTTAAAAAAAAGAAAGAGAGATCTCATTTCTAAAGTTAGCCTCCATTTAATAAGCTTTCCAAATGATTTGTGTACAGAACTGCCGATTAAAGGATATGGGAATTTTTTGAAGATAAGTAATTTGGAAGTTTTTCTATTGAATCATTTGGGATACTTATTCAGTCAAATATACAAACATATATGGGGGGCCAATACAAACCATTGTCTGTATATCTATTCATGAAGCAGGACTATACATGGGACACGCAATCAAACATTTAGGAAACCAAATTACGGGAAAGTGAGATTTTAAAAAAGTGCAAAAACTGTGCAGGCAAGCCACTAAAAACTCCTCCTCCCTCATGCCCCAACACACGCCAGGTCACAGTGTGCGACAGGTGTGAGCATGTCCACTAAACAATGAACAGCAAGTGGCTTTCATGGTGGGGAAATTAATAGGTCTATTGACCTCCAGCTGCTGTCAGCTGATATTGATTCCCAACTTCTATCCATCCCTGCTCCAAACATGCACCTTGAGGAGAACACGTCCCAAACCGTGGCACACTAAATCAACACACTACCTGCAGAGATGCTCCCGTTCTGCTTAACGCTGCTGGAGGAAGTCACGCAACCAGTCAGACTTCCTCCACTACAAATTCATGTTGCGTTTATAAAAATTTCTTGACCCATCCTCCCCTTCTAACTATCGTCCCATATCCCTGCTCCCTTTTTCCCTCAAAGCTTCTGGAAAGACTTGTCTTTACCCATCTGGCTTATTTCCTCAATTCCAACTCTCTCCTTGACTCTCTTCAGTCTGGCTTCTGCCCCTCCACTCTACTGACCATGCTCTTATTAAAGTCACTAATGATCTAATCACAGCTAAATCCAAAGGGCACTACTCCATACTAATTCTTCTTGACCTCTCTGCTGCCTTTGACATTGTTGACCATGTTCTCCTTCTCCAAACTCTTCAATTACTCGGTCTCTGTGACACTGTGCTCTCTTGGTTTTCCTCCTCTCTCTCCAAATGCTCATTCAGTATCTCCTTTTCTAATGATACCTGCTCCCTTTGTCCTGTCTCTGTTGGAGTCCCCCAAGGCTCTGTACTTGGTCCCCTTCTGTTTTCTCTTTTTACTGCCTCTCTTGGCAAACGGTACTAATCCACAACTATAAAGCACTGAACAACTCTAGCCCCTTCTTGGTCTCTCCGCTCTGCCCATGACCTTCTCCTGTCTGCTTCTCACACCTGTACAGCCAACTCACGCTTGCAGGACTTCTTGCAGGTGGCTCCTTTGCTTTGGATTAGCCTGCCTACCACCACCAGACTCTCCCCTAGTCTTCAATCATTTAAAAAGTGCCTCAAAATCCATCTGTTTAGGAAAGCTTATGGCCTCCCAGAGTAACCTCTACCTCACATACCTGTCCCTTGCTCTCTACTAAAGGGCAGCACTCTATTCTCTCCTCCAGCTCTGCTTCATTTCCACCTTGTTTGATTGCTATCTCCTGTTCTGTTGTGTTTTATACCCCACCTCCTGAAGAGGATGTTTGAGCAGGGTCCTCTTCAACCTATTGTTCCTGTAAGTTTTTGTAATTGTCTAATTTATTGTTTATCTCCCCCTCTGATAATATTGCAAAACGCTACGGAATATGCTGGCGCTATATAAATACCAGTAATAATAATAATAAAAATAATAATAATACCTGCTAGAAATTACAGTATGCATGATTGGGCTGCATGATTGTTAAATGGCAACTTCTCAAAATTCAAAATCGCTAAAAAGGAAATCAATAGATTAGAATCTATTACATTAGACCTGCCCCGACAGATGAGGCTACTCTAGACGCGGCTGGTCAGCAACCCCATGGTATTCAATCACTTTTGGATATCCTTGATAACTCATACAGTGTCTGGGATAAAAGTAGATCAAAGGACAGAATGTTATCATGATAAATGTTAACTTTCAGAATGTTTACATAAGGACAACACAATATCAAGTCTAGATCGCATTAGATACACCCTGTTCCAAATTATTATGCAAATTATATTTTTCTCATTTACCTAAATAATTGATGTAAATAACAGTCAGCATAATTCTCATGTTATCAACTATTAAGAGTACAATTCAAATTTTATTGAACAAACCTCCTAATGATAACAGTATTTTTTTAAAACATAAAAAACTTACAATGCACTGTTCCAAATTATTACGCACAGTAAGTTTCAAAACACTTTATAGGTTGTAAAGAACTGAAAATTATCATTTGTTGTGTTTGCAGCATATTTACTGAAATCAAAAGCTATTTCAATCAAACTTATAACAACATTTTAACTTTTTAAACATTTTAACAGGTCACGTTACATTTTAACATAGGACCCCTTATTTGATAGCAGCTTCACAAGGCTTGCATCCATTGAACTTGTGAGTTTCTGGACAGTTTCTACTTGAATTTGTTTGCAAGATGTCACAATAGCCTCCCCGAGCTGCTGTTTGGATGTAAACTGCGTCCCACCCTCATAGATCTTTTGCTTGAGGATGCTCCAAAGGTTCTCAATAGGATTGAGGTCAGGGGAGGATGGAGGCCACACCATGACATTCTCTCCTTTTATCCCCATAGCAGCCATTGATGCAGAGGTATTCTTTGCAGCATGAGATGGTGCATTGTCACGCATGAAGATGATTTTATTACGGAAAGCATAGTTCTTCCTTCTGTACCTGCGAAGAAAGTGGTCAGTCAGAAACTCCACATACTTTGCAGAGGTCATCTTTACACCTTCAGGGACCCTAAAGGGGCCGGCAAGCTATCTTCCCATGATTCTGGCCCAAAACATTATTTATTTATTTTATTTATAAAATATTTTACCAGGAAAGATACATTGAGATTTCTCTCGTTTTCAAGTATGTCCTGGGTCCACAAATCATTGCATTGTTACATTAGGTACAACAAAATACAAAAACAATATTAATACACAATATATACAAAATTTAACATAGAACAGGCAGGAAATATATAATCAAACATGACTCCACCACCACCTTGCTGACGTCGCAGCCTTGTTGGAACAGGGTGGCCGTCCACCAACCATCCACTACTCCATCCATCTGGACCATCCAGGGTTGCACGACACTCATCAGTGCACAGGACTGTTTGAAAATTAGTCTTCATGTATTTTTCTGCCCAATGCAGCCGTTTCTGCTTGTGAGCATTGGTTAGTGGTGGCCGAATAGAAGGTTTATGCACAGTTGCAAGACTCTGGAGGACTCTACACCTTGATGTCCGTGGGACTCCAGAGGCACCAGCAGCTTCAAATATCTGTTTGCTGCTATGTAATGGTATTTTAGCAGCTGCTCTCTTGATCCGATGCATGGATCTGGCAGAAATCTTCCTCAACGTGCCTTTATCTGCACTAACCCATCTGTGCTCTGAATCAGCCACAAATCTCTTAATTGTGCGATGATCATGCTTAAGTTTTCGTGAAATATCTAAAGTTTTCATACCTCGTTCAAGGCATTGACCTATTTCACTCTTTTTGGCAGCAGAGAGATCCTTTTTCTTCCCCATATTGCATGAAAATGGTGCTCTGTTTAATAACGTGGAACACCCTCATTTAGTAGTTTTTCCTTAAATTGAGCTCACCTGGCAATCTAATTATCACAGGTGTCCGAGATTGATTTCAGTGATAAAGAGCCCTGAGAAACAATGCCATCCATGAGTTAAACTGAAAAACTAAATATTTAATCTTTGTGACACTTAAATAGAATTTGCATAATAATTTGGAACAGGGTGTAGTTTAAAAAAAAACAAACTAATTTCAGGCACCAAAACAACTTCATCTAAATTAAGTTGATATGGTGCCAGGAAGCCGCTGTGGGCACTTTTACCTCAAGGGGGATTAACTGTTCTCAACAGTTAATCCCCTAAATTGCCTGCAGTGATGATGTCCACTCCCACCAGGCAGCATCTGGCTTCTGAATTTTTAGATTCAGGAAGCATGAAGTGCCGCCAAGCAGGGGCTGTCAGTTGACCCTCTCAGCCAATCAGTGACTCCCAATTAACTAAGCTGGCTTGGAAAAATAAGTTTTATCTCTTGAGGTAAGAGTACCTTCCGGGGATTCCTGGCACCATTACAACTTCATTTATTAGGTTGTGTTAGTGCCTGGAGTGTTCCTTTACCCTCCATTTTTAATTGCAGGTTTCCTTTCCTAATGGAGAGGGAAACTCAGTCTGCGCAACACTTGATCCCCATGTGAAGAGGCTTATTAAAGGGACGCTCCAGTGCCAGGAAAACATATCCGTTAAAACCCCTTCAGTGACTTACCAATGTCCCTCGGCGCTGGGCCAGGCTCCATCCACGCTCAGCCGGCGGGGGAGACCTAATGCGCATGCACGGCAATGGCAACGCGCACGCATTAGACCTAGATTATTCAATGCTTTCCTATGGGATTCTGGCAATACTGAAGGTCCTCATGCATAGCGTGAGGACGTCCAGCGTTGTTTAAAACACTTTTCGTGTTCTACGAACACGGAAGTCCCTCTAGTGGCTGTCTCTCAGGACTTAACCCTGCATGGTAATTATTGCAGTTTATAAAAACTACAATAATTACACTTGCAGGATTAAGGGTGGTGGGAGTTGGCACCCAGACCACTCCAATGGGCAGAAGTGGTCTGGGTGCCTGGAGTGTACCTTTAACCCTCTAAAGATTAACCCATTAGCCCTCCAAAGATTAATCTATTAGAGGGAGAATAATTCCAATGCACAGCAAATGCTTTTTGCATGCTATTTTTATATGCAAGCATGTTTAAAAGACCAGAATATAGAACAGAATCCAAAATAATAATAGTTACTTACCTATTAGAGATACATATATATCTCTTTGGACTGGGGATTTACACACGGTTATACACAGCATTTATATCAAACACATGCATTATATTTAAATAAGCTAATACACAGCATTTAAAGGAACACTATAGTCACCTAAATTACTTTAGCTAAATAAAGCAGTTTTAGTGTATAGATCATTCCCCTGCAATTTCACTGCTCAATTCGCTGTCATTTAGGAGTTAAATCACTTTGTTTCTGTTTATGCAGCCCTAGACACACCTCCCCTGGCTATGATTGACAGAGCCTGCATGAAAAAAAAACTGGTTTCACTTTCAAACAGATGTAATTTACCTTAAATAATTGTATCTCAATCTCTAAATTGAACTTTAATCACATACAGGAGGCTCTTGCAGGGTCTAGCAAGCTATTAACATAGCAGGGGATAAGAAAATCTTAATTAAACAGAACTTGCAATAAAGAAAGCCTAAATAGGGCTCTCTTTACAGGAAGTGTTTATGGAAGGCTGTGCAAGTCACATGCAGGGAGGTGTGACTAGGGTTCATAAACAAAGGGATTTAACTCCTAAATGGCAGAGGATTGAGCAGTGAGGCTGCAGGGGCATGTTCTATACACCAAAACTGCTTCATTAAGCTAAAGTTGTTCAGGTGACTATAGTGTCCCTTTAAGTTTATACATATACAGTAGAAGGAAGCATGTTTTGTGCTAAAAACACAGGTGACAATAAATCAGTGTCACACATTGAAGTGGTCTGGGTGCAGTATTCCTGTATCCTTAACCCTGAAGTGTAAAACATTTAACTTTTAGAGAAAAAGTAATGTTTACATTGAAGTGTTTACACTGCTTCTAGTGACTGTCTACAAGACAGTCACTGGAGGCGCTTCCTGCAATGACACTGGACGTCCTTACGCTTTGCATGAGGACGTCCAGCATGTTGTAAAAACCCCACAGGAAAGCATTGAGTCAATGGAAAAAGGCGAGACAACCGGTCTCTCTCCCCAGAGTTACAGGGAGAGGAGATTTTCAATCCCTCATCCCAGCAGCAGCAAGCAGCACTGGGAGTGGAGACAGTCAGTCTTATTCCCCAGCGGCAGTTTGAGGTAAAGGGAGAAGATACAACCGGTCTCTCTCCCCAGCGGCAGCTAGCATCCCTGGGGGTGGAGATGGTCGGTCTCACTACCCAGCAACAGACAGTGTTACCAGGAGTGGAGACAACCAGTCTCTTTCCCCAGCGGCAGTACATACAACATGGAGCGCATAGTTTCTTCATCACCCCTTGCCCCCCCAGCAACAACTTGGTGCCTCAGGAGTGGATTTTAGCAGTTGCCCTTCGCAGAAGGACCCGGGGTGTATAAACTGGAGCTTGGGGCAGGAGGCTCTCTGGATCACTGCACCTTTTGGAGGTTTGGGGTCTGGTTAGTCTCCCCAAGAGGGGAGAGATATGTGACAAATGCTCCTTACCCTTGACATTTGTCACAAACTCCTGGAGGAGCCTGCTAGCTAGCCTCCTGCCCAAGTACTATGGGCCACAAACAAAGACCCTGTTCGGGAGTTAAAATTCCCCAGCCGCCAGTAGCAGTTTTCCCTGGGTGCACCTGATTTTGCACTTTCCCTTTTTGAAGGGAAGGTGCCTGTGACTAAGGGGAACAAATGCTACCCAAGACCCAGGCGGAGCACCCTGTATTGCAGCCATAGGAGCTCACGAAAGTTGACCGGCCAACAAACGCCCTGGAACTTTTTTGGGCATAGGACCATGTGTGCGGCCAGTCAGAACTTTGGCGTTTCCACTACACTGCATGGATCTGAGCGCTATTTGGAGAACTTGGGCGCTGAGATTAGGGCTATTTAAGAATGTAATTTTTGTGGGTTTATTATATATATTTTTTTATGTTTATGGACATTTTTATGTTTTATGCTTAGTCATTCTGACTCAGAAATTCCTGGATGTGTTGTGGGAGTGTTCTGGGCGTGTTCTACTGTATCCTTGCTGTGTATATAAGTGGGCCATCTGGCCATAATAAAGTCAGCCTTCTAGTACCCTTCATCAAGTCTAGGCTGATGCTTGGGTATAACAAACCAATGTCATCCGACGTTGCCGCCGGGTCCCTAAAAAACACCCGACTATTAAACTACCGGTTCCAAAAAATGGTTCCAAACGTCCAAGTCAGCCCTCATATCTGCTGATACCCTGACGTAATGACCCGGTAACTTTACTCCACAAGTAGCTCAAGCTAGCTGCCTACAAAAAACCCTACCCATAGGGATCTTATATGCGAAGTTCAGGCTCCCCAGCAGGGACTGCAGTCCCCGCAGGGTCACTTTCCTTGAACCCCTCACTTCTCCCACCTGTTGGTGGAGTGCCATCAGCTTATCTGTGGGTAACCGAATTTCCCCTTTCTCCGAGTCGATTTCCAATCGCAGGAAGCTCAGGCACTCGGTCGGGCCCACTGTCTTATCCCCAGCCAACGGAATCCCAAATGCTTGTGCAACCCACTGCAAAACCTGCAGTATCTGGCTGCAGCGGTCGGAGCAAGCTGGACCCACGCACAAGAAATCATCCAAGTAGTGCACCACTGCACCCCCCCCGGTGGACTCCTGACGTACCACCCACTCTAAAAATGTGCTGAACTTTTCAAAATAAGAACAGGAAATAGAACAGCCCATTGGCAAACATAGGTCTACGAAAACCCCCCCTTCGAAAAAACACCCCAATAAATGGTGACATTCCGGGTTAACAGGAAGCAGTCTAAAAGCCGCTTCCACGTCAACCTTCACCATTAACACCCCCTGCCCTGATTTTCGAACCAACTCGACCGCTTGGTCGAATGATGCATATGAGACATCATTGACCGATGCCCCTTTTGGGTAAGACAAATGATGTATCAAACGGAATTTGCCTGGTCCTTTATTGGGGACCACCCCAAGTGGGGACACCCTCAAGTCCAGCAACTGCGGGGCCACATAAGGCCCCGCCATCCTACCCAACTGTACCTCTTTCAGCAATTTTTCCCGAACCACCCCTGGATGTTCCCGCACGGATTTGAGGTTCGCACATAACTTCCCCAGTCCCTTCCCCTTAAATGGAGAAGTAAACCCTACTGTAAAGCCTTTCCTCAAAAACCGCTTTAGCCACGGTAGCATCTCGCCTACCTTCACCGGGGTTACCCCGAAGCTGGCTTACCTCTCTTGAAGCACCTGTTAGCTCCATGGGTGCCGCCGCAACCGGAACATTTGTGTTTGAATCTGCACAACGTCCCCCATTTGCATTGGCCTTCATTGAAGAGCCAGCAAAACCCCTTCTTTTGCCCGGCCGGCGCTGTTCCACCAGGTACTGCACTGGCCATCCCCTGAAAGGGCGCAGCCTTCTGCGCCATCATCAACTTCATCCATAGAGGTAAGTCCATTTGGTCCCACCTCATACTAGGATTCGCTGCTAACCGTTGGCGGAATTGCTCGTCGTATTTCCACCACGCTATTCCCCCGTACGTTCGGTACGCGTCCCCTATCCTGTCCAGATAACAAAAAGGTTGTGAGCAGCGGTCGAGGGAATTTCTCCCTGATAACGCTAGCCAGAATACAAAAGGCCCTGAGCCAGTTCCCAAATGTTTTAGGGATCTTCCGATACCTACGTTTTTTCTCTTCTTTTTGTCCTCCTCTTCGAGGGGAAGAAGGGAAAAAACCTCCACAAACTCCCCCTTCCAAATCTTGTCTTTAACCTCTGTTTTTAGATGACAACCCAAAGGGCCCAGAGAAAGAAACGTTCACATTTTGCCGCGTCCGTAATCCCGCCACATAAATCCGTTCTTTCGCCCGGTCCCCCCTACCGTCTCATTCGTAGTCAACCCGAGATCGCCACTCACCGCTCCGACTGCTCTATCTTTCGATCCGAGACCCTTCTCTTGAACCCTACCCTCGCGAACTGCGGTGATGAAACCTCCCCATTCGCCTATAAATCTAAGAACGATTTCAAGCAGCTTAACAGTGTTTCTGAGTGTGGTGCACCAGTTGACTCACCGCCAGAGCCCCTGGCCGCAACGGGCCACGGGGTAATTTACGTCCGCCGCATACTGCTATGGAGTATCCAAGAGACGCCGACTCCTTCCAGCCTGATCCCGCCTCGGGACCGTAGGTGTAGATGTTCCCTGCTTTCTCCGTCCCTGGGAGCTGCCCCTGCGGCCCTCCTGCCCATGCCTAACCCCACTTTCCTCTGTACACAACGCTGACCCTTGTGACTGGGCCCCATGCCGTGAACCTAGCCCTCTCTGGGCCGCCCTGTCCGCAGGGGATTCCCCGCGCTGTCCCTGGCAGCCAGATTCCCCTTCCGCCGCAGACCTGGCCTGCCTCTGCCGCCCCAGCTGGGTGGGCCCGTTGGCCACTCCCATGCTGCTAGACCCGGCCACCCCCATGGCCGTTCCCACTGTGTCTCTGTTGCTGGGTGCCCCCCTGCCACCAGAGGAACAGCCTGCCCGCCACTTACAGCCTCCTGCCTGTCCCCTTGCCGCCCGGCTGTTACACCGTCAGCCAACTCAACGGGACGCCTCAAGTCTTCGCTTCCTCCTCCTCGTCCCTCCGCGTTCCAGGCCTCCACGGGGGCCGCCGGTGTCTTTGCCACCCTTCCGGTGCCTCTTCGTCCCTCCGTGTTGTAGGCCGCACTGTAGGCCTCGGCCTGGCTGCCACCCCTGCCCACCGGTATCCGCTGACGGGCTCCAACGTCTTCGTGCTTCAGGCATCACGCCTGGACTCAGCCGCTGGGGCGGTCTCGCCCTCCTCACCGGACGCCGCTCCGCAGGCGCAGGGGGGTTAAAGGCAGTACCAGGAGCCCGCAGTTGTTGCTGAAGCCAGGCCATCTGTGACGAAGTGCCCTTCGCCACTTGGTCCTGGAGAGGCCTACTTGCCAGCCTCCTCCCCTGTGACTATGACTCTTTCATCTATCTGGCTTTAAAGCCCCTAGTCTACCTCCAGACAGACTATTTATGTGGGCTGCTTTATTTATCCTATGTTTTAGTCACCCTGTACCCATTATAGGTGCAGGGTGTGTGTAATGTAATTGTTTATAGTGTGTGTGTGTGTGTACTGTGTAATGTATTGCCTACTCTCTTGTATTGCTGAGGTTTGCTACCAACTAGGTGGGTTTGGCTATGGAGCTGGTCTAGTGCCCTCTGTTGGTAGCAACAGCAATATGCACTACCTGAATTGCAAGACTGGTTCATTTGCATATTCGGGTAGATTTGCATATTGCTAATTCTGCAGGCAGGTGAGATATTTACTGTTAAATATTGTCTCCCCCCACCCCTTTAAAAATGTGCCATTGTGATGTGAT